GCTACAAAGCTACAATAATTAAAACAGTATAATTCTGGCATAAAGGCCAATGACACAGAACAGGAAGCCCAAAAATCATTCACACACTTAACAATTAATCTTTGACACTGGTATCAAGATTATACAATAAAGAATAGCCTCTTCATCAAATGGTGTTGGAAATCCTGGATTTGCAAAAGAATGGAATTAAACCTTTATCTGATACCCTACACAAAAAAAAAGTAAAATGGATTAAAGATTTAAATATAAGACCTGAAATTTTAATCCTAGAAAAAAAACACATAGGAAAAGCTTCGTGGCATTATTCCTGACAATCATTTCATTGAAATGACACTAAAAGTATAGGTAACAAAAGCAAAAATTGACATATGGAACTAAATCAAGCTGAAAAGCACATCAAAAAAAAAACACTCAACAGAGTGAAAGGCAGCCTCTGAAAGGGCAAAGAGCATTTGTAAACCACATATAAGATAAGGAATTAATTTCCAGAATATACAAGGAACTCACACTGAATAGAAAAATAATAATGTAATTTTAAAATAGACAAAAAGCTGGGCATAGTGGCACACACCTGTAATCCCAGCAATTGGTCTTTGAAGGGTGAATCTTTTCCCAAGGAATTTCCCTCTCGGTCTGCTTCTTGGCTGCTATGAATTGAGATTTCCTGTGTCGTACTCTTCTGTTATGCTTCTGCTTTCAAGCCAGCTCACCATAGATTGAAACCTCTAAAAATTTTAAAATCAACCTTTTCTCCTTCAGGTATTCTGTCTCACAAACACAAATGTACTAACGCTGTGATCAACACAAGTCAGCGTAGAAGAGCAAATCACAACCATCGTGAGATATAGCACACATTCTAGGGTAGTTACTATAAAAACAAACCAACGTGAGTTAGCGAGGATGTGAAGCACACGTGTAGTGTAATGTGCGGTGGTACAGCCACTGAGGAAAACAGTTTGAGGAATTCTCAAAAATTTTAAAATAGGGGTCAGGGAGATAGCTCAGTGGAATAAGTGCTTGCCTGGCAAGTGCAAGGTCCTGAGTTTGATCCCTGGTACCACCAAAAAATAAAAATTTAAAATGGAACTACATGTGATCTAAGAATCCCACTTATGGATATTTATCATAAAAAGTTATAATCAGAGGGCTGGTGAGATGGCACAGTGGTCTAAAGCACCTACTTGGAACAAGCTTGGCAAAGCACAGGGACTGCGGTTCGACCCCCCAGCACTACATGCCAGCCAGCCCCGCCCCCTGGTGGGCTGAGCTGGCCACACACACACACACACACACATACACACACACACACATAAATAAAATTTAAAAAAAAAGTTATAATCAGGATTCCAAAGAGATTTTAGTGTGCCATTATTCACTGCAGCACAATAACCAAGATATGAAAACAAGTTACATGCCCATTGATGGATGAATGGATAAAGAAAATGCACAATTATGCACAGCCTTTAAAAAGAAAGAAATAGGAGCCAAGGAGATGGCTCAGTAGAATAAGCACTTCCCTGGCAAGCGCAAAGGGCCTGAGTTCAATCCCCAGTTCTGCAAAAAAAAAA